ATTGCAATCTGTGCAATATCACCCACCCTACCCTACCACCTATAGGTGGTCGTCCGTCCGACAGCCACCCGAAAGGAACTGTTGTGATATTAAATAGGAATCCTACAAAAAGAATCCCCGCAAATTATATACCCTTTAATAACTCTACAAATGATTTTTATTAGCATTTTCCAGTAATCACAATAATTAATATTTAAAAGTTTTAAGTTGTTCTTTTTCTGTGCAGTGAATACATCAGTTTGTCTGTCAAACAAGCTTCGTATATCAGCATCACAATTAGATTGCACCAACATCTTGACTACCAGACTGTTTTGATCGTTGAAATTCTACCGTTATGAGAATTGAATACCTACCAAAAAAAACCTTAGCTGTGAACACGCACTTCACCTCACTTCTATATATAGATTTTCTACATGTTAGATTAATCTAGCCTACTTGGGAAAGTGATGCTAAAAACCACGAGATTTGAACAAATTCTCTTTATACTTGAAGAGGTGTTGTTCCATATATGGTTTCTTTGTAGCTCTCATTTTCTTTTTATGTTAGAATAAATTTTGGGTTAAATTTCAATTTTTAGAATTTTGTTACCCAATTCACATGAAATCTACCATATTCGTAAAACTCAATCCTTCATATTAGAAAATGACCACCAAAAGAACCTATTCTTTTGTACAGTTGACAAAAAGTTCATGGGCAAGCCACAAGCTTGTGTTGTTATCCGGATGGCTGGTGAATAAATTTTCAAATTTCAACTTTTAGCACTTTTGTAATTTTAATACTAGAAATGTACTAATATTTGTATGCTTAAGCTTCATATATCTGCAGGTATTGGAAGAGTTTTGAAAGTTTGGCAAATCAATATCTATTGAAAACATAATGACTTGTGGTGTGATAGAGCAAAAAAGACTCGAGCAAAGTAAAGAAGTTTTTCCTTTTAATTTTTCCAATTTTGTGAATTTGTTTGTTATTTTTACCAACTCTCTACTTCGTATAGAAAAGTAGGAAAAAATTGTGTTCTCGAGTTATGCTATATTTTTATAATTGAGGATCAAAACGAATAAAAATATTACTATTGATGCTGCTATGAGAATGATGAAAATAATAGTATACTTGACACTTTTATTATACCCTTTATCTTTGTTTTAGAAGACCAAGTGGAAATACTTTTTTTTCTCATAATTTAATTTATTGGTTTATCTGGAAAATAAGTCATCTTTTGGAGAAGTTGACATCAAAATCTACAGAGTTGTGGAACATGTGGCTTGCCCTTGACACTTTGGAGGGATGAAATTCTAGGGAAAAATGCTTTGAATATTCACTGTTTTGAATTCTGTAAACAATGGGATGTTCTAAGAATTCACTTGTGATGAGGGAAATTTTTAAGTGTTACTATAAAATCATTTATTACACTACATTACTTTGTAGATTTTGCAATTTTGTTCATTAATATGTGTGTAATTTCTTATGCTAATGATTACATAGTGTGCTGATTCAGCATCCTCATATGAATTTTGATTTCATTTATGAGCCAAAAGTAGTACAATAATAAATCTTGAATTGGGTAAGGCCTTGATAGGAATTTACCTTGAATAACATTTCAACTAACACTAGCATGTCTCATGTTTTGATTTGAGTATAATATCCAATGTGGTCTTAAAGTCGTCAATGATTTTTTAAAAAAAAATATTAGAGTGCATGCCTCTTTTAAATTTTAGAAAATCACTTAATTCATGCTAAGAGTGTGGTTTTTTATGGTGATGTAATCAATGACCACTTATTTTTTTAACGATCTAAAACAATAAAAATCTTATAATCTACATAATAGAAATATTCTACCCTATGTGATATTCAAAATAGTTCATGTGCAACTAACGTGTTCTTTAACTAGTTCATAAAAGAGTGAGATGCATATTTGAGTCAACAAACTAAATGAATTGAGAGTTGAAATTATTTATATAAAGAAAATGAATTATTAAAAGGTACCGCGCTCCGGTATTTAAATGGGTTGATGATGTCCTTTTGAGAAAGCTTATAAGTTTTATCCATGTCAAACCCTGTATGTGAATTTAATTTTCCGACATGACAAATAAGTTGAATGGTAAAATCTCAAGGATAAAAAGAAGTCAATTAAATATCATTGTTAGTAATTTAATTAATTTACGAATATCTGTAACTTTAAATGTGCAAAGATTATTAAGCACATAATAATGAGGAGTTCAAAATATAATTTTGAGATAAGGCCAAAGAGATCACTAATAAGTTATTAGTGAATTAATTTATTATTAATGCACCATAGGATATTTGTTCTGGATTAGACATAGGACTTCTAGACCCATTGAAAGCTCGCCCCTTATTTTTCCTTAAGGCATCTACTGTAAACTATAAATAAATACACTCTCTGGTTCTCTCGGTTATAACTTTTACCTTCACATTTAAAAAAAGACAGAGAGAAAGAGCAAGGGATAGAATTCGAAGGATTGCATCCCACACTGCATTAGGATTTTTAGCATGAAAGAATATACGGTAGAAGATCGTGAGTTTTATCGAGTCTATTGTTCGATTTATATCTGTTCTTCGTTCGTGCAGATCTTCTCGTCAAATATGAACCCTAATTTTGTTTTGTAAGATTAATAAACGAGTAAAAATTTTTGTAATTAATTGTATGCGCCATCAACGGATGTGGAGGGTTAGAGAATGACTTTAGTTTTAATTTTTCTGAACTGTGGTTGATCGGATAAATGTCATTAGTATTTCTTTTATTAATTAATTAGAAGACTATTCCTCTGCTTTTGGATGTAATTTAAAAGAGTTTTTATCTTTTTTATGGGATATTGTTTAGTTAGATAATGTTGATAATTGACATTGATTTATATTTATGGTATTTTAGTATATTCTTATAGTTTGATGGTTAATAGTTAGTTCATGTCTTTACTGTGAAAATTGGAACATGGTAAATTTACATATCTAGTAGAAAATATTGCCCCTCGTTACCATATAATTATTTATAAGAGATCTCATTGCATTTACGTTAGGGTCGAAGTTAAAGTTTTACTGCGTGCTCTAAGCACTAAAAACATTTATAATTTTATACTGTTGTAACGGTAAAGACACAAGCTTCAATATTTAATAAAAAGAAATTTAAATTCTTACCCATTTAACCAACCACTCTGTAATTTCATTAATTTGTTTTCACCCTTGTAATGTGCCTGTCTCTGATTGTCTTCTTTTTGTGGACTTGTACATATTCGAGTGATGTTTTCCGGTGGTTCCCATACACCAACAAGAAACACGTGTAGTATGATAGACACTCGAGTAAAGGCAAAGTGATGATCACACAGACCCATGTCTGCATGATAAGGAATTTCTATTCTCGAATTTGAATTCTCTCCGCTTCAAAAGTTGTTAATTTGTTTAGCAGAATAATATTATTTAACTCAAACAAAATTCAAAAAATTATAATTTAAATATATATCATTTTTTTTATCGAGCTCAACTATTTAATGTTGGCCGATTGACAATTTGAAGAATGCAAAGAAATGACAAGTAGATAATTGAAGAGTAAAATACTATTTGGATCTAAAATTTTGATATAATTTGTTAATTAGTGATGCGATTTTATTAGAACCATTGGATCAACACTAAATTTTAATATTTGATGAGATTCACGGTCAATCCAAAGATCATAATGAATTAAGTTAGCAAATTAAATTCCAATAATATTGCTTGTAACTGAATTTTATCGAAAACAACAATTATCTCAATTTGAGATAATTCAAATCTTTTTACTCCCGCCCATGTTGAAATAAAAGATAATTAACTAAATAGGGACAATTTCAGTCATACCGTTCTAATTTATAATATCTTTAAGAACACCTTCTCTATTTTTTGAATCTTCACTCACTCCCCTGTCAGATTAATGATGTTAACTAGAATGTAGTTTGCTATTTTAGGAAAAATATTATTCACTCCATTTTTAGATAGACATATATTTAATGAGACCCCTTATGTTTTTCAAATTTTTTACGTATTAAAATTTGAACCAATTAAAAATCGTTTTTAATCTCCTCGAATTTTGATACATAAATAAATATAAATTTTAATAGACTCAATTTTTGATACGTAAAAAATGAATTTTCATCAACTTGAATCAAATTTTAACTAGGCCAACTTTTAATGCGTAAAAAAATATAAATTTCAATCGGCTCGAATCGAATTTCAATTAGTGCTAGAATTTTAGGTTGATCTCAAATCAGCTCGAATTTTAATAAGTAAAAAAATAAATTTTAATAGGCTCAAATTTTAATATGTAAAAAAAATAAAATTTAATTTGTTTGAATCGAATTTTAAATACTTACATTTTAATATGCATCAAAATAAGTTTTAACATGTAAAAAAATAAATTTTAATTAGCTCGAATTTTAATCAAAATTTAAGTAGAAAAATTATTTGGGATTTATCAAGGGGCAATTTTAATATTTTAGATTTTTTTTTTTTTGTTAGAAGCAGTTGTTTAAGGACAGTTAGTGTCAGTGATGTTTAAATATAAATTAAAAAAGGTGTGAGTGATATTTTAGAAAATAGAGAACGTCTCATTAAAAATATATCTATATAGAGGGGGTGTAAAGATAATTACCCAACTTAATAATATTAACATCAACTCAAGTCCTTGGATTTGAATGTCGTTCGGTATATATTTTTTTCAACTGTATAATGTTAGTATTTTGGGGAATTTAAGTTATTCTAGTAACACCAAATAGATATGATCCTACCAAAAAAATAAGTAATAAGAAAATGGATGATTTAACATTGCGGAAAATTGGATCCTATTGAAGTTACCATGGACCAGAGTCCAGGAGATGATAACAAACCCTCTTACCTACTCCGACTAGCAATGGACCTCCTCCCACCTTATCATTTTCAAATTTTAAAATGAAATGCCAAACTTTCTAGCCGTTAAACTTTACAAAGCAGCACTCTCATCTCCTCCCTCTGCAACGCCTGAAGAAGACAACAATTAACTCCCCAACCTTTGGCCCCTCAATTTCTCTCATACCAAAACCATTTAACCTTCAAATTTCCTCTCTCTAGACCTCCCTGAATCTCTGCTCTATCTTGCATCCCCACATTAGATTTTGTGAACTAAATTCTGTGAACAAAATGAAGGGAATGAAAGGGAAGCTTCTAAAGAAGTTGAAGTCGATCAAATCAATTGGGTATTTGAAGCCAGACCGAGTCCTTCATGTGAGCGCATTAGATGGATATATCTATACTTCGCCATCGAAATCAGCTTCCAAAGTTCAGACCCACTTGGTGTTTGAAGAAGAAGAGTCGAATAAGATCGTTCAGAGCACTGTACCGGTTCAGGAACCTGAGGTAATCGATGTGTCGGAGCTAATGAGAGACCTTGAAGATGAAGAATTGGAGTTTGATGAAGATATTAACGACAAAGAGAACATTAGGCCAGAAACAATTTCAAAAAATCCAGTTGTGTGGAAGGATGATAACAGAGAAATATTGAGTTTATCAAAGCCACAGCCTGGAAATTTGGAAGCTCCGGAATTGAGAGAATCACGAGGAGGGGAGAGAAAACATGGCCCTTTATCGGAGATTGACATCTCATCTTTCCGGGGACCGGACTTAGACTCGGGCACCCTTTTTGATCCCAACCTTTTAGCAGCTTTTGAGCAAGCAGTTATGGAAGTTAAAGCCGAAGAAGCAGAGAGAAGAGCCAAGATTGAGGAAAAGATCCGCAGAAGCATTGAAGAAGAACCTCCTTTAAAAGCTCGAAAAATCGAGGAAAGTACAAACCCCCTATTAGATTTCGAAGAAAATTGCCCACCGGGGGGTGATGACTCAGTAATTCTATACACAACAGGCCTTAGAGGGATAAGGAAGACGTTCGAGGACTGTCATAGTGTGAAGTTTTTATTAGAAAGTTTTCGGGTTTTGTACTACGAGAGGGATGTGTCGATGCACTTGGAGTTTAAGGAGGAAATGTGGAGGATTTTGGGTGGAAAAGTGGTACCACCAAGACTATTTATCAAGGGAAGGTACATTGGTGGAGCTGAAGAAGTGTTGCGGTTGCATGAGCAAGGGAAGCTTAGGCCACTCTTTGAAGGTGTTCCGATTGATCAGTCCGAGGGGCCGTGTGAAGGGTGTGCTGGGATTCGATTTGTGATGTGTTTCAATTGCAATGGCAGCCAGAAGATTGTTCTTGGTGGCGACGGGGAGGCGATGAAGTGTCCGGAATGTAATGAGAATGGATTAATCAAATGCCCCATTTGCTGCTGAATTATGCATCATATTGGTTGTTATTTTCTTATGATGACATATTGCTACTTCTTCATATTCTTTGATTTGTATTGGAGCAGAACAAGGAGTGTAAGTGTTTTGTGTACTTTTCTGAGGATGGGAATAAGGCTTTTCACATTCTCTTTATGGAAATTTAAGCAAATAGAATAAACTTTCTTTAAGGAGCCCTCTAGCCCCTCTCTGTGTTCCCTGAAATAAATTTTGCAGTGAAAAATTTTGAGGTCTTCGATTAAATAAGCCAACAAAAACTTCAAACTTTCACTAATTTTGTCATAGTTCAAAGTATAGATACCAATACAACTCGACAAGTCATAATCAACTTGGCACCTTCCAATCCAATACTGTTCCACTTTCAGTGTCAATTACAAGACTTATACTACTCGGCTGAGTCAACCAAGACATCACTGAGTCACCCCGAGTCTTCTATGGACATAGTCCCCAGATTGATCGAGTTCCACAACCCCGTGACATAGTTCGAATCTCTCGCTGTGTTCAACTGCTTTTTCTATGTAGCATTTCATGAATTTTGTCCAACAATGTTCTGCGACTCCATGACCAAGGCATCTCAGTGTCCTCTGAGTCAATGGCACGAAGCACTGATTTTTGCAGAATTCAAACGTGGCAAGCCACTCTAGTGGGAGTTTTCTGAACACACTCCTTTTAGCATTTCATTTTGCTCTGAGAAGTCTGAAATCACCTGGTATAATCAGGTTTCAGCAGACTTCAATCGATGAATCTTAAAGGTAACTTTCTTTCTCCATTTAGAGAGAGCTTCTAAAGATCACTTTGGTTGAAGATTAGAATTTTGTAATGAAAAGTAGGGATTCCTTTGGTACCATTAGGATGAAACAGAATGTTCGTCAATAAATCATGGTGTTAACTTTCTTTCGTCAATCGATTTTCAGTAGTCTTGACTTTATTAAAGTTTAACATTGTATGGTTTGAGATTAAATCATTTTCCCGTAACTTTAATCATTGAAAATTTTCTAAAGCAACACACAGAAAATCAAATGCGCATGCAGAGCAACTCTGGTCGGAAAATTTCTATTTGTATCTCTCATGTCCCCCACCCCTAAACCCCCTTCTTGGTGGGCTGTGGTGGCTTTTTTTTTTTGATTGATGTAAAGTTAGACCATTAGAATGTTACCGTTAGCTGTTTATCCTCGTAACGAAAATCAAAAAAACATCTCAACCATGGTATCTGTGCGGGCTTGGTCCTGCACGATATATATATAATATTGGGAACAGATCTCTCCCCTGGTGAACTTTGGGTGAGCCGGTTGAGCGGCCAAACACACTGCTCGAAACAGCTTACGATCCTGGGAAAGGAGGAACGATCCTGTACGTGCGAAAGATATTTCCTGAAACAAAAGAGAACAGGTTAGAAGGGCGCCGGAGTGTTTTCCGGCGTATCCCCTCCGACGATCTAGTCAGTCTTTGAATGAGAGAGAGGAAGGAGAAAACACTGAGAAGGATATTTCGTAGTAAAGAGTTTGTGATTGCATACCCGCTTTGTTTTTTGGGAGGGGTATTTATACCTTAGAAGATCATGATTGCTGTCAGTGTGGTCAGTAGGTAATCATCAGGCACAGGTAGCGTGTGTAATCATTTGATGAGGAATGTCTTCTCTAATTGATTGCTCGGGGTCCCGAACAATCAATGCTGAGTCTGTCGGGACGCCGACGGTACAATATGCTCCTGTCGGGAAGGATGCAATAAATGCTCTGTAATAGGAGCATTTATTGCCTTTCATATCCGAACCTTACCGCATTGAATGCGGTCTCGTCAACAGAAGGGTGCAATTAATTGTTTGCTTTCCCAAGTCGCGTGTCAGCAACGGCACGCGGTTCGTCTGCTTCGGATGTGACATTATTTGCCACGCGTCCATCCCTTATTGGCCGTTACGTCGGTATTCCAGCACGTTCTGACATTACTTGTGTAAGAAGAGGTCATGATGAATAACCCATACTGGCATAGGCTGATGTCCAGTATGTCAGTAGCTTTATCCGGGAGTAGAGGAAGCGTCCAGGATGGAGTGACCCTCGGCGCCGAGGAAAGGCTCACCTCGGGACCAAGGGTGGTGTGTCCCCGAGGTACACGTCTGACCGAGGACACGTGTTTGTTTGTATAATATACCGAATGTGTGATCCTACATGAGAGGTACCTCGGGGTAAAGGGCGCTCTTCGCCGATGGTGCTTACATCCGGGCAACACTGTTCCAAAATATCCCGAGGACACGTGTCATCATCTTAGGGCTTTTCAGAAGAGTCCCATCAACTGCCCCCCAGCCTTCGATCTTCTGACACCGAGGACACGCGTTGTCAGGAGACGAAGGGTTTTTCCAACTGCCATCCGTCCTTCATTATGGCCTCGAGCAGCTTTCCCCGTCTTGGGATGTCGTGCGCATTAAATGCGCTGTTTTTGGTTCTCCCGCCCAATGATGACAGTTTCCCCCCTATATAAAGGGGGTTCTTCTCCGGTTTCTATCATTTTGCCATTCCGATCTCTGACCCAGAATACGCCTTTTCCGATCTGCTCGCCGGAGTTTTTTGTTTTCCTCAGCCATCGTCGACAGCATCTTCTCTTAAAACCTCAGTCAGTAAAACCCATTGTTGACTCCTGATCCTTCCGGTGCGAGTTATTTTCAAAGTTTTTCCTGAAAAAACTCCGTTTTCGACATCTTCTGGTGAGTTTCGCAACCTTCTTCTTTATCGTCCCCCTAGCCTTCTTGTTTTCCGACTGAACAGTGGTGTCATCCGGTCGGTACGTCTCGATTTAAACCCTCGGGGAACTTCCTCGGGTTTTCAACAGAGGACACCTTTTCCTCCCCCTTCTTTTTAGAGATGCCTCGTCGTCGCCCTGTTCCCGAGAATCCATCGGCTGGTCCCTCGGGGTCAGGGAAATACAAGGTGACGGGCGAGGCACAGATCAATAGGTTTAGGGCGAAGTATGGCATCCCTCCGAGCGTGGACGTAGTGGATTTTAACCCTTTGTTGTACTCTCCTACCTTCGGGGCCACGGATGCCATGCCTTTCTATACCAAGGCCATCATAGAGGGTGGCATTAGGTTTCCTTTACCCCCCCTGCTTCTTCAGTTCCTGTCTCGCTTCCGTCTCTTCCCCGGGCAATGCTGCCTCAACGTCTTTCGGATAATTATGGGGGTCCTAGAGCTCAATAGGCGCCTCGGGGTGAATATTGGGCTCAACGACCTCCTTTTCTGTTACTCTCTCCTAAGAGTCATGCCCCACCAACATTTCTACCTTAAAGCCAGGGACCCCTCTATGTACCTTGTAACCCATCTTCCTGACTCGGACAAGGGGTACAAGGACGACATCTTGATCTTCAAGGGATGTTGGGAGAGGGGTGTCGGTCCCGAGTACAATGACCTATTTTGCCCTCGGGAATGGAGAACGACAAGTACGTCGGTTCCTTTGGGTCTTTTTATTTGTTTCTTGGGACTTCTCATGTTTATGACAATCTTTTTTGTTGTGCAGGTATTCCTTCTCGGGAAACAGCTCCACCCCCTCGGTCGCTGGTCAATTTTGGCGACTTAACAACGGTTTGGAGTTTCACGGGTGCCGACGGATTTGGCCGAGCTGCCCATAATTTGCTGCACTATACCCCCGGGTATAAGAAGTTCTCACAGCTCCCTCAACCTTTCGAGCCTTCACAGTGGTCAGAGCTCTTTGATCAGGCGGCGAGGTTAGAGGTCGAGCAGAACTTGGAGGAAGACCCGGATCGGGCTTCAGAGGGAGAGGTAGAAGGAGTTGCTGAGGTCGGGGTCAGAGAGGACGTTGCTCCTTCGGACGCCGAGGTGGGGACTTCGGGAGGCGACCTGTGGCCGGATTTTCAAATTCTCCAAACCTTGGACGCCGAAGACGCTCTTGAGGAAGCGATGTCCAACACCCCACGCATCAATTTGGGGTTTCTTAGGCAGAGGCAATCCCTCGCAGCCGGGAGAGGCCGAGGGGCGACCGGCGGTACTCCGGCAGGAACCAGCTCTCCCCCATCATCAAGGGTTCCTGATCGGGGTCAGGTGCGAGATCGGGACCCTCAGGTGGAGGAGGAGAGGAGGGTGAAGCATCGGCACGATGGCCTCAGCCGAGGACCCAGGGTGCCTCCCGCTCAGCAGCAAAGCGGGAGGGATCGTGGATTACCCTCTACTCCCTCACAACCGCAGCAACCGCAGCAGCAAACTCGACAACAGCAGCCCCGACAGCAGCAGCAGCAACAGCAACAGCAACAGGCTACTCCTTCCCTCCCATCCACAGTGGAGGCCGCGGTGTGGAATCCTCGGGCTACTGATCACATGAACCGAGTGATCAGGGTCGATGATTCCATTCTGCGGGATCCCCATGTCGCCTATGCAGTGAGTGAGACATTGCATTTTGAGGCTGACATGGAGGCTCATCGGGGGCGATCAACCAACGTGTTGTTCCGCTCCATGATCCAGAACTCCCTGGTGGTGAGTTTATTCCCGTTTCGATCCCTTCACTCTTGTTTTCTACTTTTGTGCTTTAACATTCTTTCCTTCTTTTACAGGCTGCCCAGCAGATTTCTATCATAGCTGGCCGGTACCACGCGTCCAGGATGGACCTTCAGAGGGCCAAGGATCAGAAGGCAGAAGCGGAAGCTGCCCTTGCTCGGGCAACGGAAGATGTTGCTGCCAGGGATTCTACCCTGGTGGGGCAGGCTGCCCAAATAGAGCAGCTCCTCAAGGACGCTGAATCGGCCAAGTTGGGCGCTGAGAAGCTAAGTGCCGCACTTGCCGATGCTGAGAGGAGAATTACTGAGCAAACGCAACGGCTCTCTGCCGCGGAGGAGAGGGCAGTGGGCTCCGAGGAGAGCTGTCTAGCCCTAACCCAGGAGCTAGACAGGATCAGGGCCGAGGAGCTGAACCGGAAGTCAGAGCAACAACTTCTGGAGGAGTTCGCCGATGAAGTGCTCCCCGCACTTGAAGAAAATAGCAAAGAGTTCTTCAAGAAAGGGTGGGACGAGGCGCTCCAGGCTGCTGGAGTCCAGTCAGATTCCCCTCTCTTCCAAGTGCACAAGTATGTGCCCTCGGCAGAGATGGAGCAGGCAGAAGCACAAGTTGCTGCTGAGGATGA